TACTTAACCATACTATGCCGACTAAAGTTGCAACATACCGCATTCCGTTGTCTCTCTTTCTGAGAAATGAATTTTTAAACTGCATAGTGATAGTTCAAATCTCGGTCATCCGTTGTCTGTCGGGTGTTTTTTCCTGTGATATATATTCAACTATTTTTGACGTGTAATTATTAAACTAGAATTCATTTATAAATTGTATCAATTAACAGTGAAAGGGTATTAATTTAAGGAACTGGATCTAACTGAAAATAGTATGGTGACACTGGAGTACTGCTCATGAATTATCAAACAGGTCACCAGACTGGTCGACCGCGATGAAACTAACATAAAATTGGTGTATCTCGATCTCGTTCTTGTGATCAGGGTGAGTCTGTTTCCTACACATTTGTTACAAGTCACATTAACTAAACTATGGAGGCGGTCCTATTCTGCTATCGCGACCTTCTATGTGGAACATACATCCGGTATCTTCTCATGGTCTTTTGAAAGTCCGATGGGAAACGTTCAGCCCCATCACCATTGTCGGAACATTGGAATTTCCGATTCTTTCCGCGGACGAAGAAAACGTCAAATGTGTGATTAATTACAACCCATGATCGATACCCACATGCGGTCTCTCCAGCAGACGGTACTGCATTGTGACTACAGCCTCATACGGGACAACTATAACAGTATGGTAGTACAACATCCTTTGCTTTCAACACCGTATTATTTTGGTTTAATGACCGAAAGGGATGAGAGGGATAGCTATTAAACTAGCAAATAGCTTACTCGCTAGATTTATCTACCTTTTTCTGGTCTAAAATCTCAGTATACCCATCTTGAAGTGGAACTGTCTATTTGTTCACTTTGAATAAATCCTGACGATTTCTCACACTTCCCACAGGATAATTTAAATCCAGGTTTCCTCCACCAAACAACTCGTATTATTATAAATGGTCCGCTATAATATCAGCCCGTTCCGACCAGAGATTCGAAAGAAATCACATGTTTACCTATTTCAGTCACATGACACAGTAGAACGCAGCGAATAATGTTGCGATCAACTGGTGGGCTGATAAAACGTGCTTATTCTGCAGTCGATTGCGCCTGCCCGGGCAAAGGTCGCATCAATACGAATAAGATGATTGATTAATCTTCTAAGGTGAAGTTGTTGTCGAAGTAACCTCGGAAACGCCGACACTAATCAAATCATATACGCAAGACCCGAAGTGTCCAAGATGTTCTAGCGCTGGAAATGGACTGTTCTTCTGGACTGTTCTTCTGCTTCGGTCTTCACGCTTATTGTTATTCTTGTCAACGCACCTCAGAAACATGCTGCTCTGGCTGTCTTATATCTACCAGCTCAAACAATAAAAAATCTTATGGTTGAAGGCATACGTCTATCTGCTTGAGGCACACCAGTCCCACAAATTTTAGTACGCACAAACGCTGTATAGACTGGTTGTTTGATTCCGAGTTCTACAAACCGCCTCAGTCTGCTGACGTCAGTATGTTCCAAAAAAGCATGGCACTACATTATGGATTCATTGAATATCACGTGATTATTCATCCAAACACAAATCATCGGAACGTTCTGGACAATTAATATCTTATTCCATATTGGAATTTCTAAATCAAACAGTAGAACAGCTAATGGCATTTAATTTATCATGCTCGAAACCGAAAAAACTGAAGTTAATCCATATGGATGACGCGAAATGAATATGTGGACTAATTTTCGTTTTCATAATTGCCATTTTGCAGATCTGTTTGAAAAACCTTACACAAGTGTCTTAGGTGTAAACACTCACTTCGTGTATTCGTTTTAATTCTTCCTGATCAATTTTTTGTGGCTTCTCCGACAGAACGAAGCCTACGAACAATTTTTTGAACGATAACTGTGAAATTTTAAAGCAGCATAATTTGAAAGGGGTTTCCAACGAAGTACGGTCACGAATTCTGATGCTCTCCAAAATTGATGTTTCCAATATAAGTTAGTGCTTCATCTGAACCGGCTCAATCAGAATGGAGGATTTCAACGTCTGCCTCTTGGTACAAAAAATTGGATTTTGCTTTCTGTGGAGAAGAAACTATCTAATGGGCCCTGCAGCTAACCGATTCAAACAAAGAAGCTAACGGAGGAGGTGCTGAGGGGTAGTAGGTGCAAAATTCTACTCATTTTATTCAGTGTTGCTTCCTACACTGTGCCACTCCCCTCATGTATTCATTAGTTGTTGCTACAGTACTGATTTCCGTCTATAGGGCTTATACTTAGGGGTGTGGAAAATTGCGCATGAAATGGACACAGTTTGTTGAACTCTTTCCCCCAGCATGTATTGTGCAAAAACACCGGTACTTGCGGAGTAATGCCAGTTACATTTTGATAATTTATCTATTGCTCGAAGTGAATAATGTAGCTTCCCGCAGTCCACAGCATGTAAAAGTTTAATTAGTATTATTTTTAACAATAAACCCAAACCATGGTTGGGAGAAAGAAAAACCACTAAATATTCGGTAGTTTTGGAAATTTCGTAGAGATTTTTGGAAGCGGATTCCTGAGCATATAAATCAGGGCCTGAAGGCAAGCGTTCGAATAATTTCATTCTGGAAATCATCCGTGAATAAGGACACCGGGGGTTGCAATCCTATGATTTAGTAAACTATTACTAGGTCTGACCGTTACAACAGCATACACTGACGAGTTTTCCCCATTTTCTGAAAATGTATTCAGAACTACAACCATATGTCAAGTATGCGAAATCCGACAACATCTGACAAAGTTAGTATAGGATTCGTATAGAGGCTTCTACTTCAGAAACTACGATCGATATCCCATATTTTACGTGAATTAGTTCCGCGTTTGCTGACCAGTAATGATAAGCTTCAACAGCTTGTCCACCATGAATTGGCACCTCCAAATACACGGGCCGCGAATGACAGTCGATTTAGCCTAAAGGTGGAATAAGGGCAGGGGGTCGGTAACTATAGCTGCCCAGGTATTAAATGTTTGTTACCAACGTCCAAGGGAATTACCACTTAGGAAACTATTCCGGGGCGCAGAACGGGTCTTACATTTAGTTAATTTTTCCTCCATTTTTCTGTTGAATATCGGCTGATAAAGACTGCAGTAAACAGCGATATTCCATGGTACGATAGGATTGCTGTTATTAGTCGATTTATGCAGATTGTTGTCCCCGCCATATAGTTCAATCCTTCAAAAATCATTTCATTTTTGCATCTCATTCTCTGTGAGCCTTTTTTGCTGTTTGTGCTACATCTACATGGTAATTTCCTTCTCTACGCAGTCCGACATCACATAAAATTTTCCAACCGCAACAGTTTCAAGAAACTTTCTGAACCCAAAACTACCTAAGAAGACCATCTTTGGTAACATATTAAACTGATCCAGTGATTCGGTGGCTACTGAGGTCACAGAATTGTCTCCACAGTCAAGTCGGTATTGCTTGGCTGACCGTTGGTAAAGGCTAACCTAGTTCATATCCTTGCCTTACACATTAGTGGCAAATACATCGGATTATAAGGCTACATTTACATATGTTATGGTACGTAAATCGATCCTCTTACATCACACCTCATTTGACTTTTGCTTTATGGCGTCTGGTGCCACAATTTTACGCAAATATTCAGCATGTATGCATACTGCTTGGAAGATTAGTGCCTCGTAGACTACGTGAATGCCGGTTAATTTGCTCATAGCCCTGTATATCTACATTCCGGCCAAAAGCGGAAAAAAAACAGTAGAAAATTAATGCTGATGGGTCAGGTAACGCTGATTTTTTGGATAGGCTTGGATGAGCCTCATGATAAACAAGTCCCCCGTCATTGGCGCACGATCCACACGTTGTTCTATGGGACCTGACCTTTCGGCATGGGTTCGGTCAACAAGACTCACTATTATTTGACTTTGGTGATTCTACACGTAGTGAGAAAGGAGGTGTGAGTAACGGAAGCTTTAAACCAACCGTAAGGTTTTTTTTTTTGGATGAGCCTCATGATAAACAAGTCCCCCGTCATTGGCGCACGATCCACACGTTGTTCTATGGGACCTGACCTTTCGGCATGGGTTCGGTCAACAAGACTCACTATTATTTGACTTTGGTGATTCTACACGTAGTGAGAAAGGAGGTGTGAGTAACGGAAGCTTTAAACCAACCGTAAGCGTTTTTTTTTCAATGGAAGGATACGTGATCGAATGATTAGCCACCGAGGGCTTGCGGAGTATTGGGCCTCACTATTTGAGCCTTACTATTTCTGTATTATATTTCAATGAACAACTCATTTTTATACGAGACGGTTTGAGCCGCACGTTTTATTCGCTCGCAGCCAAAAAGCTGATAGGCAGGGAAGATGATTACACCTGCAGTTTATACTTCGAACTTTTTTGTGGGCCTGGTGACAAAACCTTACAGTGCATACCAGGCTACCGAATTGATCCGCATCGTTAACGGTTGCAAAGAAGCAGGCAGCCCTCTCTATAGGTCGTCACCAATTGTTGACAGCTGTACGTCATGCACACACAACTGAATTGCGCTGTCCGAAATCTGGGGTTCTTGATGTTTTCTGCAATTCGATTGTCATGACCAAAGGACTAGTAGATGATCGTGAACTTGTCACACGATTTACCAAACTGCAATCAATAAAAGTCGACATAGTTCGTGAGGTCGATGATTACCAGCACGCATACCGGTCTTCGAGTGAAGCGCGGTGACTATTCTGTTCTTCAAAGTGATTAACTTTCCCTTTTCGCAAATAGGATATCTTTTGACCATGTTGATTAATATATGATGTTTGTTTATATTTTGTTAGCCCAGGACACAACATTACGGAGTTCAGTAAGAAATTATTTTTGCATAGTGTTCCTTGAAATAATTTGATGGATCTTCTTGACGTGAGCCGTAGAAATCGGGGATTCATGTTATCAGATTGTCAAAGTGATGAAACGATGCTGTCCCCTATCCTGTGCCATTTTTACTGTTCTCCTTGTTGTCTATTTTTAGTCCATGAATTTCTACAACGGGAAAGGGAGGTGTTTCTTCGAAAGTATGAAAACCCGTCACAGGTAAGTTTAACCGACGTGCACTTCTCCGTGATTATCGACTAGTTCCGTGAACACCAGGCGAAAACTTACGATGTTTTTAAAGGCTCACTAGACGACCACGAAATTGAGCCACGTCAAAACTTTACCTGTTTGTATAACATGACGACATCAACAAGTCTGAGTTTGTACTGTGAGCATAGCACATTCAGTGTATCCCTGAAAGTCTTGAAAGCAAACGGTAAAAATGCTTCGCTTCGTTGACTGGAAATGGGACAAAACATCGCAAATCCATATGAAACTATAGGCAACCTTGTTCTGATGTGCGCAGAGGAGACTTTTACAGGCTACCTGTGAAAGTGGAAATCTCCTCACTGAGGAGTTGTTTATTAAAAACACCAACTGAACAGTTACGAACTATTGGACAGGAAGGTAAATCTCTCATGTACACTTTGTTCGCAAAAACTGAATATCCGTCTTCTTCTTGAACGCGTCTTCTTGAACTTTCCTAGATATTTGTTGACTATGACGCAATATAAACGAGTGCTAGGGAGAGATTCCACAAATTCCGTAAAAAATCCCACCTCCAGTTAGATTAAGGTAGAGTTATGATAAATCACATCCTACTCACAGGCCTCATCAGTAGTATCTACCGTCACACCTGTAGGACAATTACGTCACTGCTATTTGCAGTTGATGAGGTAGTCAGCGAATAAGGCGTAAAAGGTTGTAATGTCCTGTTTTAAACACAGGTTTGTGTGGTTTATAATCGTAATTGAAGACTTTAGTGGTTGTTTGTTTTAATTTTGTGGTAAAGTGGATGACAGAGTCGAATTCTTCCTAGAGGAATTGCAGTCTCGGCCAGATCCAACGCGATATCACTCCAACTTCCGTTGTTCGTTCCTCCGTTCATTCCCGTATTCTGTTTGTCAAAAGTTTTGTTGTATGGATGATGGTAAAAATTTTCGTGTGTAGAGTGCTATATATTCGTGCATGAAATCAAGATGTTTTCGAAACATTACAATCTTGAGAATAAAACTTCTCTCTCTTGGTTATACAATTTGACGAAATTTGCATAGCATACAATTTATTACGTCCAGAAATCACCAATTTTTCGAACGCATTACTTCCAGACAAACGGTAGGCCCTAATTATAGCATTAATGGACAACCGGTTTTAAGTGCACTTGAGACTATGATTTGCAGTTTCTTACCACAGTTGTCTAAGTTGTAGAGGCCTAGGTAAAGGGTTAAGCGAATGCCTTCATAAAAATCGTTTGGAGAGAATGGTCAATAGTTGCATTTACATACTGGTCAACTCTCTCAGTAATTTTGACTTTCCTGAAGACTCCATGGACCCACGACAGCCATTTTTGTGGTTTCTGATATCCACAGGAGCAAAGCGTTTAAGGTTGAATAAATAGCTTCTACAACAATTACAAAACACAAAGTCTGTCTTCCGTACCAAGTGCCGTAATTTCCTGTCCATGGAGAACGTTATTCACGCGGTAAATTTAACACTGTCGTATGCTTTCCCCTGGTATTTTACACACATTATTCAAAATTCCAAGATGAACTTTTTCAGCCTATCCAGCTAAAAGATTTTGTAAAATAAGGCTTCAGCTGATATTTGGCCGAATGGTCTGTCAACGTCGTCTTTACCCGTAAATAAGAGTTATTCTTTCTATATTCATATGAACTATCTAACGAATTTCATAGGTGCCCCTTGGTGACCTCCTACATAGAAGATTGCCATATCAAGTGCTTGAGGAAACGATTTCAATTAATCACCTTGACAAAATTCCAACGCAGGTTTATCTTAACCACCCATGTGCTTCAACCTATGTAGGCATTCGATTTCTAGGCGAACAAGTTTATTACGCGGTATGATCCATAGAAAAGTGGAGTTAACGCCTTTCCCGGCAGAAATTTCCTTAGGTCCTCATGTAGTGCAATCACTGTCTTAACATTTTGGCTCCCGTGAACCAAATAGGACCGGACCCAAACAGTGGAACTAGCAGTAAATTTGCAAGTTGTTGGTCGCAGAAGATAGTTCGCCCAACATAATACAAAATCTACGGATCCGATCCTATGTCCTGTACTTTTGGAATGGTGTCTACGTACCATTGAAGTGTTTGCTGATACCCTCATGTGGTTATTTCGGTACTCTAGACAAAATGTTCACTTTCACATAAGGTTAACTATCCACATAATACAAATGATTAATTTGCAACCTTCCGACATCCTTACTGAGGTGACGCCAACTAGAAAACCCACGTATCTGATGTAAACAGAAGTTGACAGGAGCATCATGTCGGATTATGCCAGTCTACAAACTAAGTGTATGTTTACATGGTCCTAGCCAGCTCACTTGTATCTTTTTCCTTTGTCTAAGAATACTGCTGCCTTGGATCAATTTGAGAGATTAAAAACACTTGGAACTGGCTCTTTTGGCCGTGTGATGCTCGTTAGACACAAAGTGGATCAAAACTACTATGCTATGAAAATTCTGGAGAAGCAAAAGGTAAGTTTGTTCTCCAGTTAGTAATATAAATGTGTGGAATGTAGCTGTTTAATTACAGTCTGACGTTTTCTGAGTGATAGTGCAAACTGTCGAGTTCGAAATTTTTCACACCACATTCTAGAAGGAGCGTTTAGTATTTCGAAATTATTCATTAGAAAGGCAAGTTTTATCCGTTTCGTGGCCCGCATGTGGACCGTCTGCTTGGCGCTTTGCACTTCTACAGACAACATTACACACTATGGCGTGATTCATACAATTCAACCTGGTTATCTCTTACGACACCCACGATGCCCGTTGAGCGTTCTGTATGAACATTGACGGGGAACCGTAACGTACAAACCGCAACAGTACGCTAGCATTTGGGGAAGGTACCGGGCGGTATCTCCACTCTGAGGATAAAAACATCATTCTTCTTGGTGGAAATTGTAATGTCTCCAGATTTAGGTCAACCGATACCTCTGCATATTCGCGCTCCTGATCTTCAGTGGTGAGAGGGCTTGCACGCAGAATCACGTTTGACAACTCACGAAGTGTCCATGCTTAAATCATTGCAGACAGTATTTTAACTGTTGTTGGTCGGTACAAACGATTGAAGCGTCAGCAGTTTATTCCAGTCAGAAACTGAGGAAACTTTTTTGTTTGTTCAAAACATCTTCATTTAATCATTTTATGTCATTCGCCGAAAATGCTGTCATTGTTTTTAGATGTAATGCGTTTGAAATCTCCACGGGATCCTACCTTTCGCATACGTTAGCATATAAAAAATACCCTTGATGAATAAGTTCTCCCATAACAACGAATTTCCAAGTTGCAAGGCACTAACATTCGTGGCAATAAATGCACATTGTTCAACTAGTTACACATTATTAAATTGTAGAATTTATCCGCCATTAAATTTACTGACTCAATTATCATTTATATTACTCACTTATTAAACTTAATCAGCAATTGTGCTGGGCAATTTATACACTATATACATCCGGACATTTGGTCAACTGATGAACGTTTCATAGGAGGCAGAATGTGGGCCCAGGTCAAAATTATTAATTCTATTGGTGCAAGCTATTGAAAGGACTTTATATACAATATCACCAAGGAAAGCTTAACGTAGGTCTAGACAAGACGAAAAGATAGTCCACGTTAAAATGAATGAATTAAGTTAACGTGTAAAAAAGTAATTAGTGTAATATTCAGTCACATGAGGTGCGTGTCTTAAACAAAACACTGAGTCTATTTTATCAGCAATTGCCCTCAGACACAGATTTTAAAGTTCATTAAGCCCAAGATCCTGAGAATGTCAACTTAAGATTTAAGGGCGGTATATGGTTTCACAGTTTTCGGACATGGGGCCATTGATTTACTAGGAGCCTACGCCTCTGGAATAGAAGCAGCTCCACTTCTTTCACTGACTGGGCTTCTCTGGTAATGTATTCATGAGCATTTTCTCAGTAGAGCTTAACCCCAACACAAAGATGGAATTCAAAATGGAGAATGACGGGCCTTTTTCCCAAATCCAGTAGCGAAAGTCACTCAATCGCTTTAATCCTGGTTACCTAATGTAATTACCAATCGGAAGTGAATTTGTTTAGTGTCCACTATTATCCTGTACAGAAGAAGAGCTAAAAGAACAAGCAAGAAGTTTTCCTTTTAATAATTTCCATAATATTTTTCAACCACACGCAAGAGTCCAAATGAGAATTGGCTGCAGCGTTAAATGGAGAACTGACGAAAGAATGATGATGATCTACAAATTCTACTGCTTTCTATTTGGTTATTGACTACCAACCGTCACGTAAGCCAAAGACTATGTTCAGGATGAGCCATCCTACGGCCACAAATGATACAACAGGTGATTAGCACTTTCGTTTCACAAGCAGAGACACAAGTAATTTGACTGGCCAAACGAGAGCTATGAATAGGACTTTTGGAACCATTGCTTCGCTTTAGGGTAATGATAATGTGGTTTGCGTAACCTACTCAACTGTTGGGAAACTGTCAAGAACTTACTAAATCATTTCAACTCTAGCTTGGAAACTCACCACAATAATAAATCACAGTTTACTCAACAGAAAATGAAAACGTTTACTTTAGTAAGTAAAATACAGATAATTCGCAAGAACCATGTACAGACACCTGTCTTCAGGACACTAGAGCTTCAACCTAACCATCGATCTACAAAGAAATTCTGGGAAGTTCATCACTTTTTTCACTCGCAAGGTTTTTCTAGCTATATTTTCACCGTGAACCGTATCGAAGGCCCGTATATTCAAAGACATAGATAGATATGATTGATTAAAATATATGATTTTACCTTAATAACCAAAATCATACGACGGACGAAACAGAGGTCATGCTGACCTTAAGTCTTCAACTGCTTTGTTCGACTTTGTCAAGAATCTGGGAACTTGTGTGCAATTTAAAAGACAAAAGCCACTAGTGTAAGATTAATTAATCAGGTTATCTGTTAATTAATTAGGCGTAAGATGTAGTTGTCCTTTGTAACGAAAATAATTCAGTGAAGTTTCCAGACAGTAGGCGTTAAAGCCATGATGCACACATGGAAAAAGGTGAATAAGTGTTTTAGCCAATATGCACTGGTGTTTGGCTGTTGACTGGGTAAAAAAACCATGTGATACTTCAGTGTACAAAAATAACACGAAAAAGGGTGTTGAAATCGCAGCCATGCCCGAACAATTTGCAAACTTGCACTCAGGTAAAATTTGCCAAAGTATTTGATAAGTTGAACACACCTATTAGCGGAAACCGCTGCAGATGTTTAAGAGGTGTAGTTTGTCATCAAATTGCCATTGGATGTTAGGTCTTAAAGGCCCACCTGTGGCAGTTATACGCGTCAAGTGATTGGTCTTGGAGAGATGTATCTATTCTTGTTTTATGTTCGGAAACTCCAGCCGAAATGCTGAAGCAACATTTCGACAAACGACACTTTCAGGCAATCAAGTGCAAAGTGGATCGGGCTGATTAAGGTACATTCCACCGTACATACATTATGTAATGATCCCAAAACTGCCAGTGAGCCCAAAACTGGGTTTGCTGGACTGAATTCGATCGGCGTGGAAGCAACTAAGAAAAACTAGGCAAAAGATACTTAGGTGGGCTTTTGGTATAAGTTTGCAGATACAAGTACCCAAACAAAGGAAAGGAGCGGTATGAACAAGTGGGCCCAAAATCACTATGCAAGCATGGTAAGAAGCATCATTTCTCAGTCCCTGTACGTATGATTAATTGACACATCCTATCTGTGGACAACCTGCCGAATGTCAATTATGACCTTGTGAACTGTTTTTAAATTAGCTGACTTTAAGCAATCACCACCGACATTAAACCCAAATTCCCATGTAAAAAAAAGTGGGTGAACGCCAACGTTATTGAATTCTCGTTTGGCGTGACCCCATTAACTCTAACACAACGGCTGAATTGATCTATTGTTTCTGGAAGCACTCTGAAACCTTATGCTATTGCCTCATTTACGATACAGCAGAACCTGACGGCAAAATTTGTAGACCAATTTATCTATTCCGAAGAAAGTCCTTGTGTATGAGGTATATAATGAATATAGTTAATTCAACATAGAAATCTCAATATGTGGCTTTTTTGACCATTGAAATTAATCTCACTATTTTTTATAGTATGGTCTATGCCATGCAACCCCAAGAACGCAGCCTTCAGGTAAACATGGAGAAAACCAGTTAATCAATTACTTTGAGATTTGCATGGTAAAGTTGCGATTTTTCGATAATCGGATCATTATGAAAGGCCAGAATGCATTGCCTTCTTATGCGAACTGACAGTACTTTTATGTTTACGTGATTGCGTATGCGCAGTTAATGCAAGTCATTCGAGTTCCGGAAGTTCTGCACGGATGACTGTCTTTCACAGGCAGATGAAATACCGACCATGGAAAGGTTACTTTAAAATCCAACTGTTACTCGTAAACGGAGCACTGTATGACTTCCATGTCTTTTCTCCTGGGGTAAAAATGATTCACTTTACAAAAGGTTTGGAAACTTACGGAACTCAGTGTACAACCTGTTCCACCAATCTTGTTCTTTTCTGTCCAACTGTTTATCTCTTTTTCATTTCCGTTGGCTGGGCTCTGAGTTTCGAGTTACTTGTGGTAGATGTGATTAGTTAAAACCATTATCGATGTGATCTTCCCCTTACTTACTTACTGCTATTGCTTTTCCAGATTTACTCACCCTCAACATACCTGCCTTTGATTTTAGCTACAAGGACAGTAGAGATTTACTGGGCTGGGTCTGCATCTCAACTTTTATTCCCTCTACTGATTGTCAGGTATTTTAGTGGCCCATCAACCAGTTTGATATTCGGGACAACACGAACACCCTATGATTTTCGTTCTGTTCGCCGAGCTTGGCAAACGTTCCATCGTTCATGGAGTTGGCACTGTCAGTGCACTGACGAACGTATAAGTTGGGCTACATATATTAGAGCTCGTCAACAAACCCAGGTTTGGCGTGGGAGAAAAATGGCAGGCAATGTGGGTCGTAAGCCTAAACTGCATGATCTTGGTTATGTTTCAGACTAAATACGGATTAAAACTTTATTTGTTGAATAGACCGATTTTGCAAACCTATGTCCCCCTGTGAGGTCTTTTAAAGGTGACAATCGAGCTAAAACTTTTATTCAGGCGATCACAGTGAAAGCAAAAACACAGAGATCATTGGGAAAACCGGACATCATCATGGTGTGCAAGCCAATTATGTGTGTTCACTTACAACATTCAAGCATTCCTTCAGTATCGGTGTAAGATCCTCCCAATGCAGGTTGCAAACAAGACAAAATGTGTTGTAAAAGCTCCATACATGGACTGGAAATAGTTTGCTCTCTGTCCTGTGCAGAGTCCATCATATCCATCAGCCTATTTTTAATTTTGGTTGACAACCGTCAATAGTGCTTACGTGATACGCTTTTTCGTCAAATTGTGCTGCATAAAATTGCAATGGTGAATAAATATAAGC